ATGAGGTGTAATTAAAACCCAAGAACATTTGTGCATTATGGAATGGTTTAAGGGTTGTCTATTAAGCAAAGGACATATTAGTTTTATTCTTCTAAAGTTTGTGTTCAATATACAATGTATACTCCCTAAATACTGGATGAGGTACATACACTGGGGTAATTATGTTCATTTTGGTTTATACTGAATTTAAATTCGTGGCTTTAGAACATATGTGGCATTAGGCATTGCATTTTTATTAGGTTAACATGTTTCTTCTCTTCTAAAAGCATCTCACACGCTTGAGGGCAGGGTACACTGTGTCTAACCCTCGCCCTATGCCCAGGGTCCACAGAGCCTTGAACACAACCAGGTGCTTGACAGATGTTTAGTAATAATCAGAATGACGCTGGGTTTCAACTTTCTGAAGTGTAGACTATTGAGCATGTGGCAATGTACTTTGTATGTATACATGTTCAGACCATGTGGGGGAAATGAATTATCTTTGTTTAAACATGCTTATTAATACTTGCCATTTAATATTCTTTTTCTTTTTATGTATTTATTTTTTTGAGCGTCACCCAAGGATATGGCTTTACTGATTTGAAAGAGAGAGGAAGGGAAAGAGAAAGAGAGAGAAACTTCACTGTGAGAGAGAAACTCATCGGTTGCCTCCCATATGCACCCGGAACAGGGATTGAACCCCCAACTTGGGTATGTGCCCTGACGGGGAATCAAACCTACGACCTTCCAGTGTATGGAACAGCACTCCAACCAACTGAGCAACACCTGCCAGACTAATGCTTGCCATTTAATTAGAACAAATGTTCTTAGGGTTGCCATCTTCCTATAAACTTATGGAAAAAAAGCATAAAGACCAGAAGAAGGGGAATATGCAGTTGAAGTCAACACACTTTGCTTGAGCGCTGACTTGGTGAAAGGCCTGGGGCCAGGAGCTGGAGGACGACCAAGATAATAAGCAGAGTCAACACTGTAAGCAAGGCCTTTGCATGCATTGATTCATTGGACGCTCACAGTGCTAAGACTGATCAGGTTCTGCTATCTGAGGCCTTAAGATCTAGGACAGACTTCCTCTTTTTTCTCCTCTCTTCCTTGAGCTTTCTTGTCCTCACCCCTACAGTCAACCTGGGGCGGGGGGAGGAGGAATTAAAGAGAAAAAGAGGGGGAGAAGGAGGGGGGAGGAGGAATAGATACAGCTTTTAAAGTTTGGCTTGATTCCAGTAGGAGGTAGACTATGCAATAATAAATTGAATTTTTATCAAAAACTATCTTCACAGGCTTCAGAACAGGATGCCGATCTTCTTGAATGAATGCTTCGATAAATCTGTCTTGGTTTTCAAATTTATTAACAAAACTCATTTTCATTTTTATCAGCATCTTAGTTTTGCTTCAGCAAACTGCCTTCCCTTTCAAGACCCAGCTGATGAGGAGCAGTGAACAGCCCGCCCAGAACTACTAGTATATTGTAGTGAGAGCCATGCGGGGAACTCTACCCACACCTGTGGTAAATTATTATGGGTGGTGAAAAGCAGAAGTACAATGAAATATTCTTCATAACCAGAAGATCAGAGATATATTGACCAATTTTGGTTTTTTAAAAAGAATTTAGCGCAAGGTATACAAGTCCTCCCACATGATACATTGTGTCTTCTCTAGAAACCAGTTCTCCCCCGCTGCCCCTCAGAAATAAAACTGTATGTTACTGCCCTGACCGGTTTGGCTCAGTGGATAGAGCATCGGCCTGCGGACTGAAGGGTCCCAGGTTCGAGTCTGGTCAAGGGCATGTACCTTGGCTGCGGGCACATCCCAGTGGGGAGTGTGCAGGAGGCAGCTGATCGATGTTTCTCTCTCATCGATGTTTCTAACTCTCTAGCCCTCTCTAGCCCTCTCCCTTTCTCCCTGTAAAAAATCAATAAAATATATTTAAAAAAATAAAACTGCCTGTTAGCTTTTGTTCCAGGAGACAGAGGAGGAGGAAAGCCAGCACTGGTGGACCAAACTCAAGCATCCTGTGGGGGGCGGCCTCACCACAGGCTCCCACAGGCCCGGGCTCCCAGAAGGATATCCCCTCAATTTCCAAGAATGCCTGGGGCAGCTACTGCTCAGAGCGTCCAAGACAAAATCTCATTGTTTTAGCAGAAACGAAAAGGGCAAGGGATTCTTTAGAAGATAGAGGGTTTACTTCTATTTCAGCATTTGGCAATTCCCGCTAGTGAATTAGAACTACATTTTGAAGAGGCCTGCTCACAGGTGCCTGACAGCTGCAAATGTGTACCTACAATTAGTGCTGGGTCACCTGAGGAGATACCACTGAAAAATCCCCTCAGGTTGCCGCCCCCCCCCCCCCGCCCGCCCACACACACACACCCGGTCCCTGGGTCCCTGCTTCAAGCAGCTGTTGGAAGGAATCTGTCTTAGCCTGGGTAAAAGACCAGATGGGAATTCCTGCTCTCAGACAGTGGCCCCAACATGCAGCCGAAAGAAGAACCGCTGCCTGCTTTTGGCAGGCTCTTCGGGGCCCAGTGGAATAAAAAAGGTTAGTTGCTTTCCTTTCCCTCTAATCAGTCCTGAGCTTTCCTCATAAACCACATGCCACGTTCCCTGGTCCATCTCATTTTGAAAGCACAAAAAAGACTTTGAACTCCTGGGGGCCTGGCATTTGAACTCCAGTTCTTTCATCTTTTCCCTCAGCACTCAGTAGAGAACAGGCCGTGTTGTGCTCATTAATTCTACTGACCAAGTAACAAGCCTGGTGAAAGCTTCTGAAAGCTCAGGTCCCCCTTCAGGCTCTTACCAGACGCCTGGGGAAAACGAAGAGAGGTCAGAAAGACGCCTCTTCAGTCAACCTTCCAGAGAGGACCCTGTGGTCCCTGCGAGGGGAGAGGTCTTGGCACCTCTGTGGATTCTTCTGCAGCAGAGCTCAGGGCGATCCTACAGGTACACGCTCGCTGCCATGGCCTGTAACCTCCCCTGTGAGCCACTGTTCTCAGTCATCACTCTGGCCCTATCCTAAGCACACTACAAAATTAGACACATTTCTTACTCGGGAAATTGATTGGTTGTTTTTAAAAAAATGTCCTTTCCTTGCCAAAAAAGCCACAGGTTCAAATAAAAATTTCTCATTGACTCAATTCTTTTCTCCTACACATACCTTATTAGGTATGTTAAAGACACAAGTTTCATGTAGACCTGCCTCTCATCTAGAAACTTCAAAAATGATGAAAGCTTTTTTGAGAAAAATATTTTATATTTTTATGAGAAGATGTCATTGAGTTTAAGAAAATCACACTGAAATTTACTCTTTTCCTTTGACGGATGAAGGTGTGCAGAATCGAAATGCCGTGAGGAAGGTGGTTTCCTCAAACAAGCAAATTTAAACCCAATTACGAAGCAGTCCTGAGAAATCTGTAGCGTCTCACTAGGAGGCGCACAGTGACACACACATGCTAGCTTCACTTTTCAGACAAAGGCTTCAGAAAAGAGGGGCATGGTGCCTTTGTTTATGCCAAGCTTCTGAAAGATATAAATAAATGGAATTTGAGGCTAAAAGGAAAATGTTCTAAGGCGGTTGGTCTCAAACTTTAGCCTGCAACAGAATTCCCTGCAGGGCTTAAATCGCAGATTGCTGGCTCCCACCTCCACCTCCCTGAGAGTTTCTGATTCAGTAGGTGTTGAGCAAGGCCTGAGAATGTGCATTTCTAGTAAGTTCCTACCCGTGGTCGGCAAACTGCGGCTCTTGAGCCACATGTGGCTCTTTGGCCCCTTGAGTGTGGCTCTTCCTAAGCCTTAGGAGTACCCTAATTAAGTTAATAACAATGTACCTACCTATATAATTTAAGTTTAAAAAATTTGGCTCTCAAAAGAAATTTCAATCGTTGTACTGTTGATATTTGGCTCTGTTGACTAATGAGTTGGCCGCCCACTGTCCTAGACGATGCTGGTGTTGCTGGACTGACGACCACACTTCTGAGAACCACTGCTCTAAGGACGCTGAGCTCCCTCTGCTACCCCTGGACAAAGCAGCTTTCCTTGCGACCATCATTTACGCCTCTGATTCTCCTCGAAAGCCCTGGAAAAACAGGGCATTCACACCACTCTGCAACCCTGATGACATGACCATTTTCTGAATCTTGGTTTTGGCTTCTACCAGCAAATTAGCAAAGGTCACCTGTTTCTGGTTACCTGACTCTTCCTGTTAAAAAGCTTGGAACAGGTGAGTGTTTATTCACCGGTACATATGAGGAGATAGATCAAATCTGTCATGCCTCTATTTGTCTTTTTTTTTTTTGGCAACAGTGGCAACTCTGGTTCTTCCTGGGCCCTTTACACCAAACTCTTCCCCTTGGAAAACAGTCCCCATTGGTGTCCCCTATGTGGAGTGACCACGTCCCTGGCCTGCTTCTACAAGACCAAGGGATTTACATATACACAATTCAAGGACCGAGTTTTACATCAGCATCTCAGATGAGACGGAGTACATGAACCAAGTTCACTCTGAGCTTCTCTCCTTTTTACAGCTCAAGAGTGATGCCCCTTCCTTGGTACAAAGTGGGCCAATCCTCTGACGGCAGGTTAGGTGAACCAAAGTTCACTGGAGAACAGTCTAATTCTCCAGCAAGCTCTTTCAGAGGCTAGAAAGCCTCCTCAGGGATTAAACAATTCGCATATTAGGACACTGACTGAAGCTAGATTTTATCTGCATTTCAGCATCAGTGGTGGCTACCATACTATGGAAAAGGATTTTTATGAGAACAGGCAAGTATCCCTGAAAAAAGTATAATGGCCCCAGACCTACTCATAAAGAAACAACTGGAACAATTTAAATTACTATGTTCCCAAGAAGTGTAAAGTTCTACTAATAAAAGACACAGTCACTCAGAGATGAAAGTTTAGTATAACTCAATAAAGGTGAGTTATGTGTTCATTTCCCAATGTATATGCCCCACCTGGGATTAGGAACATCATTGAGATACCTCATGGTGTGTGGCGGTTTTCAGTGTTACCTGATTCATCGACTCTCATTTTTTTAGTTGGGCTGTCACAGTTCTCATCATCTGACATTTCCATCTCCTCTTCGCGACGGATGCCCATGAGTTGCTCACTTTGAGCATTCCGGAGCTCCTGAAAGTTAAGAGTACACAAATGTCAGTCACTTTCCCAATGGTCTTTTAGTGTATTATGGCTGACACATGAGCACCTAGAATCTGCAGTTTTCCCCTTTCAAACATTTCCCCACCTAATCTAGGAAAACATTTTGAGGGGTACAGAAGGTGGGTGTGGAAAGACAGGAATCTGGTATCGGACTTGGAATAATTCCTGCTCACCAATGACTACTCAAGGGCTCTTCAGCAAATTGTTCAATCTCTCAAGTTTCAATTTTCACATTTGTAGGAAAGGAGATAACAACATCCACCTAGCAGGGCTGTTGTGAGGATTACACAGAAATACCTATCACCATGAGTGGCACACAGGAGGGGCTCATCGCTAAGGATTAGGAATACAAGCAAGGAAACGTTTAAAAGACTGGTCTGCTACTGACCCAGTGTACTGTGTAGCTCAAGGAATGTTTCTTCATCTGCCTTAGCCTCAATTTACTCACTGGAATATTGTGATGATCATACTTTTGAGAATAAAATAAATTAATGCATGTAAGATACTTTGCCTCATGTTAAGCACATGGTTCTCCAAGTTGAAAATGCAGACCTCTATTATTCTTCCTGCAGAATAGGGGCCCTGCATGTGAGCATGGGGCCCTGTGTGATCACGCACACACACACACACACACACACACACACACACACACACACCATTCATATATTCAAATGGTCAAATTTAAAAATATGTTGGAGGGCAAAATAAAAACAGATGGCTTCTTTTTCTAGTGTTTTACATTATGGTGTAGAGTTTATTGTTTTTGTTGTGATGGTTGCTTTAGCATCACTTTATGATCTTAGGATTATATCTTACACTCTCCACCTATTACAGGAGTGACTGCAGCCAAGGCATTTAATTTCTTTGAGCCTTTGTCAACTCACACATAAATGGGGAATAGTAGTAATAAAGGCCATTTGAATGCAAGCGTGCCATGTGAAAACTTATAAAAATAAGGAATTACAGAATATTGTTTTACAACTGTATCTAAAAATCAGAACACTGTAATCATGTATGTTAAATAATCATATTATTTGTATAAATTTCTATATTATGTATTTGTGAATCCTTATCCATTGTGTTCTCTTATATGTTTCCCCTTTTTACCTCATTTAAATTGAAGTCTTTAAATAAAGTCAAATAGTTAAAATAATTTCACTTTATAATAAACCTTTGAGTAACAATAAAGCTAAGGTATGACGAGGTACTGATGGCATGACTTTAAGCATAGTTCTAAGGCCCATTCAGTCAATGTGTGCACATAGTAGTCTGTGTTATAGGTTCTTTCCATTGTCTTCCCTGCTTAGCTCACAGATGTGTACTGTAGCATGATGGGAAGGAAAGTATTTGCGTGGTCAACTCTGAACCCTGGGAATCACCAATACAGAGGACAGGGATGGAGGATCAGCAGAGAGGCAAAGTCCCTGGGACAGGGACACATGTCAGGGCAGTCCTGATGGCCACCAGGCTGACGGCCCAGGCCTCCTTGCGTGACATGCCACCGAGTAGAAGGGGTGCCAATCCTGCCTTAAACAACACCATGGGTATCAGAGGCAGATGTCACATGTGATTAGTGGGGAAGTTTTTAGGTTGTGGACAGCTAATTTTTCTGACAAAGAGGCCAATTCCCAAAGAGGTGGCCTGAAAATACTTAAAACAAGGAAAAGTCAGGCGGAGAGAATAAATGAGCCTGAAAGAGCCTGTTGTTTAGTTCCCACAATTAATGACAAACTGTCATACAGTAGCTGTTCTAGTGGGGGAGGGCGGCAGAAAGGAAAACAATGGGAGGAAAAAAAAAACATGAGCTGAGGGTGTTTCCACAGGGTGCCTCTGGTTCAGCAGTAAATCACTCGCACACTCTAATAAATCTGCAAAGGTGTTGCAGATAATTAACAGATGCTGTACATGGGAACGCGGAAAAATCAAGCCAATTATCAAGCTTATGTGCAACTGAGAAATCATCCACAATGTAAAATTACCAACTGGTACTTAATCAATTAAGCGACACGTCGGAGAGAAAATCAAAGGTAATTTAGAATCCTATTTCCTGGTACATCCATAGAGCTGGCGGGAGTGGCAGGGAGCCATAAAGGCCCTTCGCAGGCACAACGTCAGGACAGCATCCTTTCTACCCCTCAGCAGGGAGCAAGGTGAGCAGGCTTCCCTGGAACAAAGCTGGAGCCTCGCGTGTCCTGCTCCGCAATGGAGACGACAGCCCTGGCCCCAGCACGGGGGACGCCAGGAGAGGGGACCAGCTCCAGACGTGGCAGGAAGTGTGAATTAAATCAGGAGCCGATATTTGCTGACACTCACTACTAATGCCAGCCTTTCTATGCACAGGTTTATTCGGCATCGTGCCACTTGCCTTTCTCTTAATATTTCTTTTAATCATGTTTGGTTTTTACGCGAAGGAAAAAATAAACAATTCATAGATTGTTCCCAAATCTGAATCATAGTTCATGGATTCTGATCTGTGTTTCATAACCCTCAGTTTGTATATTTCATCATAAACTAGGGCTCTTTCCTCCAGAAAATCAACCTTAACTGGGGTACTGGGGTCTCGACTCAATGTCTGGGGGAGCAGTAGGGAAGCATCCTTTGTTTTTTCTGGCCCCTGAAAAGTTAAAGAGAAACCCCACCTCCTCCTTACTCACAATCCTGAACAGAGGAACAGAACTGCATCACTCACCATCCACCTTCTTAGGCATTTGTGAACAAAATAAAAAATGTCCTTCTTAACAATAAATTGCACTAGCACTTTAAGTGTCCCATTATTGTGAAGTCATCGGCATTCACCATAATAACAGTGATAATAAAGGATTCATTTGCTATTCATGTGGATATTATATCTAGTGCCATTGGTATTCAGCTGTAATTTAGCATTAGTTAATGGGCACTTAAAATGCTACCCAAATGATTGATATCACAGTACTTTGTGGTTCTTCAAACTCTATATAAAACACTTATTTTACAAGTGGGAGCCAAAATCATTAAATAAATAAACCTTACCTTCTATAAGTTTGGGATTTTGAAAGGGGAATATCATTTAGAGAACTCTGATATCAACATGCTAGAGATGGAGAGACATCCGCATGAGAAACATTCTCTCATTAAAAAAAGAAAGAATAAGCAAACAAAGACAGTATACTTACTGTTAAAGTACAGGTTCAAAGCGTACACTACACTGTGGAGTTAAAAATAACAGCCGGACGACCAATGACTAATGACACATTTTGGCCCTTCTAGGTGTCAAAGAAGGTCAAGTTCTGGACTCTTCCCTTGGGGTGAATACTCACATTCACACATGCAATGATGCAGAGGGCAGACGTGGCTAGCTGGGCCGCTCCCTCCCCTGGGGAAGTTTGCGCTGGGAGAGGTGTGGTTTAACCTGCTGGCTAGCACAGGGACTAAGGCATTGCTCATGATGAGAAAGCGTGCATGAGAGGCATACCTGCCATTTCTAGACCAAAGAAGAAACTGTCCTCATCACGTAGCAGAATAGCGAAAAAAACTCCGTATTTATTAAAAACTGGTTTTCTGTTTTACTTTGCACTTCATTTCATAATCATCAGGCAAAGTGGCTTGGTTTATTCCTGAGCTCTTGGCTATGAATGGAAGACTTTCTGCTCTCCCACTGCAGGGGAGAAGAGCTCTCTGTCCTCTAAGCAGGAAGTCAGCTCTTTGCTGGGTAAGGAACAGATCTGAGCTGGATTTGGGTGACAATGAGACAGGACAACGGCAAGATGACTGCCCACTCTAACAAAAACCGTAATGACTGCAGCCACACTATTCTCTGCCAATCCAGCTGTGTGATGGTGTTTAAAAAGTAATAATAAAATCACCAACCTCAGAATGTTTTCGCCAAATGTCTATGTTCTTGCGCTGAGCTTTCGAGAAATGGTCCCAAGCTTTTTGTCTGGTAGAAGCGTTGAAAACGGCCACAATCTGCTCAACTTTGGTGAACAAGGAAGTCAAACAAGACAAGTAATTTATGTTGTGATCACTATAGGGAAGCAAAGCAAAGACACTAGGAGTCTATGGATGATGTCACAGTAGAAATAACATCATCAATATCCATCCAATTTGTGCCTTTTGTACTTACATTTTAGCAAGGTTGGGATGTCTCCCTTCAAGTCTGTCTCCATAACCTTAGGTTAAAGCAAATTCTAAGTATGACTGGGGAAAGTCCAGGGAGACTGGCTTCCATGCATTCTTTACCTTGTTTACAAATGGACTTGGTATATGTACAGACTGCATGGGCACTGGTGTTGGCATACAGATACAGATAGACAATGTAATGCCTTGGTTGGGGGCTTAGACATGAAGTTGGGGTAGAGTGGCTGGATGAGGAAGAGCCAAACATATATCTTTTTCTCTTTTGGTCTCTATCTGAAGGAGTCAGATGTAGCTCGCTGAAGACATTACTGGGTCCAAGTTCTAAGTTGGGGCCATGAGTAGCTGTGTCACATCTCCCCTCAATCTCAGGGCCATTTTTACTCCTTGGATCCTTTTTCTTCCCCTGTTGCAACCAATGCAGCCAGCCCACCAGCCCTTGGGCAGGGAAGAGAGACCAAGGCTCGCCCAACCAGCAGCTCTGCCATGCAGACCTTATGTTCACACCCTCCACAGTTCATCATGACCACACACCATCTCTGTTATTTCGTTTTTCACTTTCTTCAGGCTCCCCTCCCTCAGCTCCCAAACCCCTTGAAGTTCCAACTCTATCACTTGGACCTCATTTAGAACTTCCGTGGCTTGCAGGCACAGTGCTATAGGAATAATAAATGCTGAGGGGTTGTGAACAAAGCCATGCAGAGAAAGGGATGGGCTCTTAATAGTGGATGTCACAGGTGGGGCCAAGCAATTGCAGATTCAGTCTTGCTTAAACAGTTATTGATTTAGTAGGCATGAGATTAAGGAAATTATAGCACTGAATTCACCACATGATTAAACATAAACTTCTAAATATTAAGTTAGGAAGGGATAGTTAAAATTAGCTTCTCACAGATGCTAACACTCTATCAAACATATTTTTTTCTTAAGTGATTGCCAAGGCTCTATTATAAAAAAGGACATCAAAGCTCTTCCAAATCTTCCAGGTGTCCAAAGAATGTCAAAGAGCAATAGGATAATCTGCACAGAACAACACCTGGTGCCACAATTTTAAAAATCAGCACACAAAATAAACAAGTGTCTGATGGAGCATAGGAAGCAAGCAGATTTCATTCATTTCCCACATTGTAAATATCTTCTCATGCTAATAAGCAGCTACTTCCCGACCTATGGGTAGTTTTCACGGGGGAGTTTATGTTTACTGTTTTCCACCTCAAGAGAATTCCAACTCCAAACTTTCCTATCTATCAAACTTTATCATCATGTCATACAATGAACTGATTGCACTTAATTTTAACAGGAGGATTTGCCATCAGCTTATCTCACACTCTTCCCTCTCCTCAGCTCAGCCGGAGGAAGTAAAGCTGCCAGCTAGCCAGGCTGACCTGCTCTGAGGGTTGCCTTTCAGCTGGCCACCTAAGCCCAGGGCTGGCTGCCCGGCAGCATCGCTGGCAGAGGAGAATGCTGCAGCTCACTGCCTGGGGTTCCTGCTGTTCTGTCTGCGTGCAGGCCTGGTTCATGGGGGACTTCAAGCAGCCTTTCCAAGGGCAACATAGAGTAGTTAGCCTAAACTGTCATGGCAAAATCCTGTCAGATGAGATTATCTGGCAGGGACAGAGATGGTAGTGATTGTGAGATTTTTTTTTTTTTTTTAAGATTCTGTGGTCAGAAGGGACTGTTCAAAAGCTGATGATTTTTTAAAAATATATTTTTATTGATTTTCAGAGAGGAAAGGAGAGGGAGAGAGAGTAGAAACATCAATGATGAGAATCATTGATTAGCTGCCTCCTGCATGCCCCACATTGGGGATCAAGCCTGCAACCTGGGCATGTGCCCTTGGCCAGAATCAAACCAGGGACCCTTCAGTACACAGGCCAACACTCTATCCACTGAGCCAATCCAGCTAGGGCTGATTGTGAGATTTTTAAAGAGAATTGGTCCCATTGCTTTTAATAACAGGACTCTTTGATTGGAGTCAGTTAGAAGAATAAGAACTGTGGTGTCTGACACCAGGCCTGAGGGGAAGGCACAGTAAAGGTTAAGGCTGAGAATTTGGGTTGTGATGGCCATAATTCTGCCGTCAACCAGAGAAGGCTGTTAATAAAGGTGATGCCACTAGAGAGAAAATTGTGTGTTCATATGTTTAAGTGTGTGTAGAGTGGAGGGAAGCTAAGAGAGACTAGTAATGCACTTGGAGGAGTACAGAAGGGAAAGCACTTAGAAGAAAGACCCAGTGGCCAAAACTGCACATGTTCAAGGTTAAAACTAGATCCCTGAATGTTTACTCAGGTCGTGCGGCAGATATTCCCTGTTTCAGGTTAAGTGCCTCTGTTGCTCAGACCATGCTATTAACATATTCTGGGCCATAAATTCAATTCATTCATTAAGCAAACATCTGAGATCCTACTGGTTACGAGGCACTTGACTGATTGCTGGAAATATATGATTAAGACATGCCCTTGCCCTTGATGAGATTACAGAGAAATCTCATCTGGGGAAAAAGCAGATAATTACCTTATGCAAAAGAGGTATGGATGACACCTATGGGGACACAGTAACTAACTCAGTAGGTGGAGTCAGGGAAACACACCCAAAGAAAACCATATTTTTGCCAAGTCTTAAATAGTGAATCAAAACCTGCTCAGTTGAGAAGGCAGGGCTGCCACTTAAAGGCTGGCATGGAATGTGAAAGGACTTTGTGTGAACATAGGTGACAGGGATGGGGCTAATGCTGGCTGAGGATAAATAAGGACCATGCATACCAAGCCATATTGCGTACTTTATATGCAGGTCAGAGAAGGCAGATCTGAGTAGGATTTGCGTGGGAGAAATGAGAAAGGCTTGAATGAAGGCAGAGCTCTGGAGTGGAGGGAGAAGCAAGAAGTCATTTGACAGGGCAAGATACAGGACACAGTGTGACTGACTTGCTGTGAGGGAGGAGAAGCGGGAGACCAGCACGACTCAAGCTTGGGAAGAACATCAGAGCCCCAGAGGATGAGCACAGGTGGAGGTCTGAGAAGAAGATAAAGAATTTGCTCTTGGACATGCTGAATTTGAGAGGCCTGAAGGTCATTCAAATGGACCTGAAATACATACTGCGGGTCCAGAAAGAAGTCAGAATTCAAAGAGATATGATGTCTTAAATTGTCTGGGCATATCTCGATTTCATGTAATTGTATTCTTTCCAATAGGGGAATTAATTAAAAGCAAAACTAAATGTGATTAAGTTTATACTTCTTATTAATTTTTATACTTCCTCCTCCCCCCACAAAGTAACAAATAAAAAAACACACCAAAGAACAAAAACTGTAACTCAACTTAGGTTTAAAAAATAGTTTCACAGTATTTCTATGGCCCAGTTTACTTTTGTCTTGCAAATAACAGCTCTTGGGCACTCAAAAGGACCAGAAAGAGTGCTCAGATCAGCATAAATTCATCATCATTAGAGAAAAACCACCTCAGAGCCTCTACCCTAATGAATGTGACTCAAAGACAGCATATTTTAAAGACCATAAATGGGGTGACCACTACAATTGATGTCACAGGTAAAGACCATACACTCTTCACTAGCTCTAGCAGAGAACACCAAAAACATGTCCATAAATTTGACTACCACACACTACTTCTCCAGTATAATTCTTACTGCTCATTCCATATACGATGAAGCTAAAAGCAGTTACTAACTAAATGGGATATTTAAAACTCTACTTAGAAGCTCAGAGAAGAGATTAGTAGACAGGATGTTGTTGTGATGCAAGCAGAACAAATTCATATCCACCCCCACCAGAGCCTTTACCATCTCTAGTGGTCTAAAGTGATGGCCGAAGGCCCACAGGAGCCTATATCAGTTAGTATACTTAAACATTCTGGAAGTATGAGAAAGAGTAACAGAAAGAGTTATCAGTCAGAAAATTTAATTTTATTCTTTATACTTTGCAAATCTTTCTTCCCTAATTCTATGTTTGATGTGTTTTGCCCAAATTAGGTTGTTTGAGGAGCATAAAAAATTACCTGACTTTTCAGAAATATGCTTGAATGTCAGTCTTAGATGTCATAATATAGTCTCCCATACATATCCAGCAGGTATCAATGAACAGAAGGGAAGGATAAACAGAGCTGTGATGAAGTTGGTCACCACTCTTTGCAAATCTCTTGTTATAAGATAAGCTGGGGCATATTGAAAATTTAAAGAGTTTATTTGAGCAAAAATCGATTCAAATTTGGCACTGCCAAACTGGAAGTGGTTAGGAAAGCTCCAGTGACAGGAGCTGGGGAGAGGTTTTTATAGAAAAGGCAGAAGGAAAGGAAGGAAATTCTGATTGGCCATAGCTTAAAGTCCTTAGGTTTCAACTTCAGGCACCTGACAGGCTTAGGTTTTGGTCTGCTTACATAGGCCACCACAGCCTTAGAGCTACCCCAGGCTAATGGCTCCTTGTTGATAAGTGTAACATTCTACTAGGGGTTGGTTATTCACTATCTCATACATGTGTAAGTGAAGAAACATGTATACCCACATGCACACATATAACATACACATATATGTGTATAGTTTTCAAAATTTCAAAAAATAATCCATAAGATCAAGCAACTTATCACCCTTTTCAGTACTTTCCCCCAAATGCTTGGACATCTGCTGAGTTCAGAGCATAGTCCTTACTTGAAATAGGACTTTATAAATGATCTTGAGAAGAAGTTGTCTTCCATCTTCTCAGGGAAGGACAGCTTAGGACAGAACATCCATTTACCCAGAAAAAGGACAATTTAGACAAGTTTCACAGTATTTCAGAACAATTTAGACAAGTTTCACAGTATTTCAGCCAGCACAAAACCTCAGATTTCT